ATTAAATAACTTTTAAAGCATAATTAATTAAATTTATATTAATAAAAAAATAAAATTATAAAACTAAAACACTTTATTAAATTAAAAATAATATTAAACAAGACATAAAATTTAAACAAAATGAATCATCCAAAAAAATATTTACGCTTTATATTTATTCTAAAATGGTAAAATTATTGACCCAACTATTATCATTCTCTTTCTCACACTGTAATTGAATATTATTTGGTAACCCTTCTTCATATTTTTCCCTTTCTACCAAAATTTCACTGTTTTCCTCCTCAAGAGATTGCAACTGCCGGATATTGTTTAGCAATTCTTTATATTCTTCTCTTTATGCCAAAATTTCACTCTTTTCCTTCTCAAGAGATTGCAATTGTTGTTTTAATTGTCTAATTCTCCTTTGTTGCTGCAGTTCTTATTTCCACATTTTCTAACCTATTAAAACCAAAAAAAATCAATTTATCTAGTAGTACTCGTAGTAGTACTATAAAAGCAAAAACTATATATATATATATATATGTATATGTGTGTGTTATTGAGAGTAAAAGTAAAAATAAGGGTATTAATTTTGTATTTTTTTAATTTAAAGATGTTAATTTTATCAGTTTCTAAATAAAAATGTTAACTTTTGATACTTTTTATTTAAAATTGTCAACTTTTAACTTTTTTTATTTAATGATGTCAATTTTTAATATTCTAGTAAAAAATTACATTTGCCATGTTACCATCACCATTCGATTAATTTTTAAATAGAAAAAATTAAAAATTAGTATTCTTAAATAAAAAAAATTAAAGTTGATACTTTTAAATAGAAAAAAGTACAAAATTAACATTTTTATTTGTACATTTTCCATGTTATTGAGGTTAAAGTATATATTTAGTCCCTTACCTTATACAATTTAAAATTTTTAACTTTTCACCTTATACTACGAAATTTTAGCTCCTAAACTATCAAAATTTGCTAACCTTCCATTAAAGTGAGAATAAAATATTTACATGATTAGTCCTTAAAGATTAAAAATGTAATAATTTAGTTATAAACTATTAAAAATTAAAAAAATTAATCAATTAAAAATAATTAGTAAAAAACTTTATTACATATATGAGAGTAGTGTTAAATATGTACAATTAACTTAAACGATTAGGTCAATATAAAGAAAGAAATTTGGTTGAGTTTGAGAAAAAAATTTTGGTTGTATTCTTCTAGTTTCTTGGATTTTCTATCTTAACTTAGCCAATAAATTTTCTTTAATCTCAATCAAAATTCATTTTTCAAATTAGTTAATTGCTTAATTTGATTACATATATCTAACCTATTCTAGTGTATGTGAGAAGGACATTCATTAATTTTTTTATAATATACTAATTTTTTTTAATTTTTAAACTTTTAAAACTAAATTGTTATAATTTAATCTTTAAAGATTGATCTTATAATATACTAATTTTTTTTTTAATTCTTAAACTTTTGAAACTAAATTGTTATAATTTAATCTTTAAAGATTGATCCTATAAATATTTTATTCTCATTTTAACTAAGAGTTAACAAATTTTATTAGTTTATAGGCTTAAATGTTAAACTTTTAAGTTTAGAAACTTAAACTCTATAGTATAAGATAATAGACTAAAAACTTTAAATTTAATAAGGTGAGAAACTAAAATATATATTTTAACCTGAGATTGAAAAGTGGAGGCAGAACTAGGAATCAATTAAGGGTAAGACTTTCTATTTTTTAAAACTTGCCCCTACTGAAAGATTTTAGGTGCAAATTCCAAGCACCTGCAAAGAACTTCTAAGACAAATGTGACTGCAGGGAGGAGATCGTACAATGCACAGGTAATTGTTGCGGTTGAATACTCGAGTCCAAGAACGTAAAACACCTGGTTTGCAGTAACCCTGCATAAGATTATTGTTAACTTCCTCGTATTTTCAGCATTCATAGCAATATTTTGAAGGAAATTCATAAACTAAACCCAAAAGTCCAGTATCAAAACACTTACGTTGTAATTGAACACAAGAACAACTGGAACAGTATTGACATTGTGATCCTGGGTCGGGTCTTCCTGTTCAAATAACCAGAAAAAAGAGTCAGAAATTTCTAATTGTGCAAAAACAGAGTTTCCTCCTAAGAAGCAATTTTCTTGGCATCGAAACAGGAACATATTTGCATGTGCAAAATAACCCAATTTGTGATTTAATGTGGTGAGTGTCACGTTATACTAGTGCCAGGTGCCAAGCTAGCATAAAAAAAGGCTTGTCACAAAAAAAAAAAAAAATCCTTGAACTTTACAAAAGAAGTCATTATCATCCCTCTACTTGAAACTTGTTTCAAAAAGAGGAGGCTGATACTGCAAGGATGTTCGATTTAATCCAAACAAGAGCCTACTTGTGGGTAATGAACAAAGGAAAAAACAAGCATTGCTTATTTTTAGATTGGATTATTAATCTCAACTTGTGCAGATTTTAATTTTGCCCCTTTTGGTTGTGAGATGTGGTATTTTGTATTAAAATGCTTACGGGTTTGAGTATCCTTTGTGCTCTCTATTAATAAAATTTCTTTGCCTTTCAAAAAAAAAAAAAAAATCATCCTTCCGTTTGAGAACATTATAACACTG